AAGACGCAAGACTTCACTTGATTTTTTGTCTTTGGACAAAACTAATTAAATAATTAGAAACCACTTATGAACAATTTTAAAAGGAGCTGGGTGCGAAAAATCAGGTCACCCACATTTTAACAAGCCTTTATGACAAAAATAAACTGAAGTTGAGAATTAACTAAATATCAATTTAGGAGGATGACTATATACTTTTGTCAATATTGTGTAACATACACGTCGAGTACAGAGTGACGTTTTTATTGATTATTAGATTGAAGTTCAATTTATTAGAGGAAGAAAATTTTTCAGCAAATTTAAATCCGCAAATGATGTAACGGAGAAGTAAAGAAAAAACAACAATTAAATAGTCGATAATACGGTCCAGTTATTAACAGGTTCTAAAAGGGCAAATTAGTGGTAATGTATATATGCTACGATTCAACTCAACTATTTAGCATTTCTTATATTAAATTCGAAAGAATTCGTAAAGCTTGTGTGGCTTTCTATGCGTGCAAAAGGATGTACGGTAAGAGCTGGGGATTGCAGCCCAAAGTGATTCTCTGGCTTTACACAGCCGTCGTTCGGCCAATATTAACATACGGATGTCTGGTATGGTGGCCTTCATTGAACAAACAGTACATTGTTCAAAGACTAACCCGAATGCAAAGATCTGCCTATGTGGGAGCTACTGGGGCTCTAAGATCTTGCCCCACCAGTGCGCTCAATGTCATACTTAACTTGCTACCTATTGATATTTACATCAAGCAAGCTGCTACTCTCAGCGCGCAGAGGCTTAAAGATCTAAACTGTTGGCGCTCGAGTGCTTTAGGACATGTTTTTGCCATCCTTAGGGCAAGTGTTCTTGCTTTAAATATGCGACTTCACGGAAAAGAGGTCTGCATTCTAACTGACAGTCAGGCAGCTATTAAAGCTTTATCAGCAGTCTGTCGTCATCGAGATTAGTAGAAGAATGTAAGGAAATTATTAGTGAACTAAGTGAGAGGTCCAAGGTTACTCTAGTGTGGGTTCCCGGGCATTCTAATATTGTGGGAAATGAGCGCGCCGACGAGCTTGCTAAGCTAGGCGCTTCTTCCACGGATACCCCTATTTCGATCTCTACCCCTGTCAGCTACGGGCGTAGGCTGATTTGTGACCATTTTTTGCGACAGGCAAATAGTGAGTGGACCCTTACTGTCTCAGCAGCCAGGTCAAGGGCTACTTGGCCCATTTATTCCAAATATAGAACCTCTGACTTTATCTGTAGAAACAAATCTGAGGTTTCCAAGCTAGTATCTATCTTTACGGGTCACTGGTCCATAGGACGGCATGGAGCCAGACTTGGCCTTTCCTGTGGTACCTTATGTAGTGCGTGTCTACCAATACTTGAAGAAATGACACCAGAACACCTGATGTGTTTTTGTCCAGGTCTGGCCAGAACTAGGTTTAAGTTTCTAGGGGCCCCTTTCTTCAACTCACTAAGCGATATCTCCAGCATCAGCATTAGCCAGATTTTTGCCTTTGTTAATGCCTCTGGTTGGTTCTAGTTTGACCCTCTATCTACTACCCACTATTACGAGGTTTTTGTGGACTCAAAACGGCTTTCATCCTTAGCTATTTGAGGAGGATTCGTCCTCCCTCCACCACAACTAACTAACTAACTATATTAAATTGAAAATCAAAAATTGACACGACAAAATTCAGATACCGATTAGTGAAGGCATTGCTCCGTCTAATAACTGCCTATAATAAACAACGTGGAATAATAAAAAATTAGGCAAGCAAAAGATCCAAACATTTCTATGGGTATATCGAGGAGTGTGAGAAAATCGCCAAATTATTTACAGAACTAAAATATTGATCATTGAAGAACTCTGTCAAGATCTGAAAGGACTGAAATAAGGACAAAAACTTTTACTGAGGGAG